TCATGAGATATATTGAAAACAATGGGAACTGTGGTTAATGGGCTAATAACCTATTTAATATGGGATTTCTCATTAATGATTAAACCATTCCCCCAAACGATTGCTTCACTAAAGCATCAGTGTTGCCTTTGATTGTGTGTGGCTTTTGAAAATATTAAATTTCAGTTTTGTGGCAATTACTATTGCGTTTTAATGCTAATTATATGTAATATGCTTATGGCTGAGGGCAATGGGAAAAAGGCATTGAGATAGATGAGACTGATAGAAGTAAAGTCTACAGTATCTACAGCACATGATTAGGCCAAAGTTAGATTATTTTTTTGATGACTTACATAGTATGCAGTAATTTAAGAAAATATAAGCATGTTAGCTGTTATGCTAAGATTTGCTAATTATATCTAAACACAACATACAGTTGAGGCTGATGGGTCATCCATTTTGCAAGTATTTCATTATAAACCAAATTATTGGACAAATTCAAATTCTGTCCTGATGGTTCGTGCTGCCTGAAAAGTTAAAGCAAATTTCTTACAATTCACCCTGAGGGGGACATAAATGTCTGCACCATATTTCAGGGCAATCCATTCTATATTTGTGAAGATATTTAATTTAGAACAACAAACTCATGGTGGTGCAAGAGGAAAAGGCAGAGGATCAAGCAATTGTTGCTTGGGCATTGCAGTCTCAACCCAGTCTGGACCAAACTGGTTGAGTGACTGATGCACAGGCTGACATTGCATTCCCTAAAGCCACACTGCTAGCTAGCATGGCTAAAAAGGATCAGCCAATCAAAGCGGCTGAGATTTCCTGACTTTTAGGTCAGAAAACACTGGGTCACCCTTCACATGCTACTAGACCCTTCTGGTCTGGTCTTTCACACCCAATGCCCTCAGTTTGTAACACGTATTTTCTGTTCAAAATGTGTAGTCCCCTCTCTCTTGAGTGAATGTCTCAGACTGTTACAGGTTTGGAGGTACTCCCCATGAATAGTAATTTGAATTTACCTCCCAATTATTTAGCAGTTTTTGTCTTTTAAATTTATATATATATTCATTTTGGCCCCTTTACATTTAGACTCAATTGTCTTCAGACACAGAAAACATCTTTAGATGATAAAAGTGTGGTTCACCATGGAGGACTAACACAGGTCTATCAGGGAGCAGGGCTAACAGAGCAGCTTTAATACAGCACCCTAATGCTCAATACCCAGCAGTGACTACAGTGTCGAAAGCGTCATGTGTTTCATTTGTTTATGTGATTAATGAGCAATCCCCAACAGTGTGGGCTGTGGAGAAAATTGAGTGTCTCCATTTTATCTATACATTACAATCATCTCCCTCCTTCTCCTCTCCTCTCCTCTCCTCTCCCTCAAGCTCATCCGTTTTTGTTTTTGGCCTCTGCCCAATTTGGTATGGAAGCATGTCCAGTCGTGGTACGCTGAAATGAAAGTATGTTTAAAACTGTGGTAATGCGTGCACTGCACACAGTTTTGTATCTGAAGGACATATGTTTCACTTCATCAGCCCTGCAGCACCAGCGCTCGGCAGAAATTGTCGTTTGCTCGTTCCACCACAAATATTAACATTTCCAATCTGTTGTGTTGCGCTACAGCAAATAGAACCGACACAACTTAGAGAGTGTTAATAAATCATGATTATGATGCACCATTGGCTGCAGCTTCCCTCGGCAGCCAGTGAATAAACTTCATCCCAATTCTGTCTGTGGGCACACCCTGCATGATGATACAAGTCGTTAGGTAATTATACAGCAATTAACATTCTGATAGGAGAAACAGCAGGTTGGTCCGCCCTCGTGGTGACAAATGATGAACAGGGTGTCTCTAATCGACTTACTTTGATAGTTCCCCTTGACCTGAACTTATAGATTTATGGAGAGCTTCTGCTGTTTGTTTGCTTTCCTCCTTTTTTATTAAAGAGAAGCCAGCAGGCCTTCAGAAGATGATGTGCCATCATCATCCATTTGAAAAAGAAAAGCTAATTTTAACTAGCTTCCTTTACTGATAGTCAGCTTATGCTATTCAACCCAAGAGATTCATGCCAAAGGACACAACACGGGGGATTTTTGATCCATGACTCAGAGGACACATCGTGTTCCATATTTAACACAAATTCATCATTTGCATGGCACTTGTGTCATCAAATATTTTTAAAGCACTCTCAGAAGCGTGTGTTTTATGAAAAGATCTTCACAGTCTGTGTGGACTTGTCAGGGGTGAACTCTATGAAGATGCTAAATGCTGCTAAGCGCTACCTGCTGAGTGTAAAGCAAACCTACTTTGATGCTAAACAGTTGAATAATGGGGGTTTCCTTCCAACAAATCACAGCAAAGGCCTTTGTGTTCAGACCACCTTGAAAACTCTCTCCTATCTTATGACACTTTCAATCTTTTTAAAGAACAGGGAAAAATAAACTGACTTTTCAGTTTTTTTCACACATCTGCTCTCTCATTTTATTGTTGGCACTAAATCCTGTTCTACATAAAAAAAACACTTATAAATTGCAAATTCCATGAAAGAACAGATTGTTGGATACTATATTAATATGTGGAAAAAAAATATATATATATATACTATGTACTAATAATATATATCAGTATCTATGAAAGACAGAAGGGTATACGCGTGAGTGGAAACTGGGAGAGGATCTGCGCACAGAAGGGAGTCAAGGACACTAAAAACAAAGTCAAGGTGGCTGGGGAGAGCAGGTGCAATCCTAGCTGAGAGGAAGAAGGAAGCAGAAGACGGCAAGAGGCTGACTAGGGAGTCTGGGGAACAAGAAGAGGCAGAGAGAACAAGGACATGTGTGTGTTGGGTGTGTGTGTGTGTGTGAGCGAGAGAGACATCCAGATTGAGAAGAGACATAAGAGACACAGAAAATCTGCAAGCAAATTAGACATCATTAGCCAAGAGGCGGTTAACAAGTCTAATTAGGGGGGAGGCAGGCAGGCAGTGATACCAGACTTGCTTCCGGACCTCAGACTCACACACACACACACACAGTCATATAAATACACACACAGTCACAAACATAACTCACACTCACAGCCAAAGCTTCAGGCATCTCCTAACTAGGTCAGATCTCTGATACTTTAAGGCTGAGGGTAGGAGGGAGCGATAGAGAGGAAAAAAGAGATTGAGGAAAGATAAAAGATGGAGGGTGGGACCTTGGATGGGAGAGTTGTCTGCTCTTGGTGAGATGGAGAGACTTGTTTAAAGCTGTGAGAGTGAGATAGTGTGGCAAAGGCTCAAGGAGAGAAAGAAAGAGAGTGCATATAGTATACACTCATAGCCATGCACATATAAATAACTGCAAAGAGGTTGACTTGTTTACACACCCAACAGCTGCTGTTTTACTTCTGTCATTTACGGGACGTTGAGTTTAGGATATGAATCTAAAAGAATACTGCAGCTCCTGTTATTATCTCCCATAAAATGACAGGTGCATTAAATGCACCCTTCTAGTTTAGCTGTTATTATAAAGATTATTTGTGTGAAATGAGGATATTGCTGTATTAGTACCAGCCATCCAGTTCTCAGTTTGAGTGATAGCTTGCCAATGCTCCTGAGGGATGACTGAGTTACATTCCCTTGAAGCGATGATGACTGAATGTCAGTTCTGGAAAGACACAGAAAAATGCTTCAGTCGAACAGCCTGCATCTCTTTCTGTTCACTCTGCTCTCTCAGAGACACAGTGACAGAAAATATTGTCTCAACAACCTCTGATGATCCTTCATCTCACGTAACTGTGGCTGAACGCTTCAGAAGAATGGCTTCATTGCCTAACTAGCAACTTGGATCAGTTTAATATTTTATAATAATACTTTAGCATACTGTTGTGTTTAAAATTCAGCAAATGTTTGTGCCATGACGAGTACTAATAGTGGTGATAGTTTTGAGCACTGACTCGGGAAGTAGTGGACTTTTAAATCAGTTTAGTATGATTAAACTCTTTTTTACAACCTGTTTGATGCTACGACTTTAAATGGAACAAAGATAATGAAACATGAGGATGGATATGATTTACTTTCCTTCTTAAAAGAGTCCTCCTGGGATGAAGTATTGTACTTTCATGAAGTTGGGGGACTTGAGATGAGATATTACAAAAGCAAATGGTCGAAGTTAATGATATCTTGACTTTTATTTCCTAATATGGTTTAAGCTGCAAAAATGCTAGATACACTTCCCATAAGGCAACTTAATAGCCATCTTTCACGGCCGTGTTCATATCATGTGGTACGGATGGTAGAGATTGGAAATGATTCCCCTGTTTACGACTTGCAATCCTTAACAAGTTGGTCGTGTGAGGGTTACAAATACTGTGACCTGACAGTATCACACTAGAGTATATCCATTAAATTCCGATGTGACAAGCGCGGCATTAGACCCTTCCTGATTGGTTAATGCCTGTGCCTGTGTCTGAAACCACTCCCTCGTTCACTCATTCACGACTCTACAGTGTATAATAGACACTGAGAGTAGACACTCAGAAGGAAGAATATTCACATTTATAAAATACAGACAGTTGCATTGTGGGATTTTTAGCACAAAGTACTGTACATGCCATGGAGTAAATATAATATACTATATAGTACATAGGGAATCATTGTGGACTGATTGTATGTATTACAAACTTAACTTTCTGTTAATCAATATACTTTCTTGGGTTTATTGATACACTTTCTTAAACTTAAACCAAAGCCATAGAAGACAGTGTACAGCTGCTTTCATGGGTTGTCGAGCACTCCCTGTGACTAGAAAATTGACATTGGCAAGTAAAAGTGGTGGAGTTAAAATATCCAATATTGTGCACTTGATTTGTGAATTCATTTTATAGGCTTTTCTGGATGTGCAGTCACTGAAACGGATACATTGTTTATTGGTCGTCAGTGAAGTGGCACCAAAGTCATCATGCCTTCCTGACATTTTCTAGAACACAATTGTGTAAATGTCAAATATACGGTAAATGCTTGACTTATTACCTGTCTCCGGGTGACAGGTTCCATGCTTGTGGCAGTTGCACGGCACACATGTTGAGAGAGGCCCTCTGCCGGGGTCTTCCCGGGTGAATCCTGGGGCGCAACGCTCACAAAACTGGCCTGCATAACCCGGGGGACAGGAACAAGATTCTACCCATGGGGCTGGAGGACTTGCTGGACCAGAGGAGATGAAAGCTGAGGTCAGGGTTACCCCCGCAAGCTGCGATGTGTCTAGAGTGGAAGGAAGAGAAAAGACAGGAAGAGCGCTATGTCATAAACCTGATGCTTTCAAAGGTCAGTAGTAAACTGATAATTGTTTCCTCAGAGGGCTGTTGAAGTGTTTGGGGCACCTGCTTTTCTCTGGATTTTGGAGGCATGTCTGCGTGTATTTGTGCCCGTGCATGTTTGCGGGTCTCTGTATCTCGTTAAGCAGTTGGTTATTAGCATTTGTTGCAGTGCTGTCCCTCCCTCCCTGTCTCATTACAGGTTCTGGCCTGTGTTTACAGTTTACAGTCAGACACACACACATAGACACACACCTATACACACACCTATACACACACACACACACACACACAATAACAGATTCATCCACCCACAGGCCTCATAAATGCCACACTTAATGCTCACTTGCACACGCACGTGCGCTTGCATGCGCCCACACACGTACACTCATCACCCAGGGAATCTTTGATATAGCAAATGAATAAATCACTGCAGCAGAGCAAGACGAGAAGAAAAGGAGACAGGAGACTCGGTGGAGGTATGTCAGACGTGCAGTTCCTGTGGGGTTTCAAGATCCCTCTCTACTCTCATGAATAGTGATGGGGGCAGGCCATCCTGAACCGAATCCCTTTCACCCTGTGCTCTCTAAACCACAGTCACAGAACACAAAATTACTTTCGTTCCTGGTCCGTTGCTGATTCTGCTCTCGATGAAGATAGATAGATAGATAGAATATGCTGAGCATGTATGACTATGCAGCTTCATCATTTAAGAAATAAACCTAGTGTGAATGAGGAAAATCTGACTGGAAGAAACAGACAGGGGTGAGAAAGTGGAAGAACCAGAGGAGAGGAAAGACCTTGACTTCTAACGAGTCATGATCCAGCCATTCCTTCAGCGCTGATGAAACCCAGTTCATTTGCACCTCAGAGGGATAATCAGTAGGCAAGCCTGTCCTCTTCCCTCTCCATGACTTGCCTTAGCCTCTACCCTGTACTCTCCTCTACCTCCTGAATTCTATTAGCTCATTCAACGAGGGGGAAATGTGCAATTAAAACCGCTTTCAGACACTGTACCCTATATTTCAGTTAATTAAAAACATTTCATTTTAAGTCACGCTGTGCAAGTTCTCTCCATCAATCCTTTGTCCGAGAAACCTTGTCAGACCAGTTTAGATTTTAATTCCCATGGCTCACTGCAGCCCTGCGAACGATGACAATTTAGGTCTCCTTAGGTACCTGTACATAAAGCCATTAAGCCATTGACTTCTCAGAAACTCCAATATGCCTATGCTCTCTGTTCAAAACCCCATTTTTGTGGCAGTGGAAATGGAAGGCCTTTACGGTGCCTGCCTTTATAGTCAAAAGACAATACTGTCATTAATATAATACAGTTATAAGAGAATCTCTGTGGTGCAGAGAGAAATGTTAAGAGTAAAGGAGAATATGAGAGGGATAGGAGAAAGATGAGAGGACAACTTTATGGGATTTTGAAATTAAAGTTTGCCGCGCAGCCTGCAGCGATAAGGCACTTCTAACACTGTTTGCGAATGAGTTTGGGACCTAACACAAATCATTAACAGAGTTTCTCCCCTGTGATGTGCAATAGATGCAGTGTGAACTGTGTGCTTGACTTTGTTTGCACGTTCATGTGGGTGGGTGGTTACAGGAAACAGTTTGATGGAATATGCATGACTGTGCTTCTGTTTCTGCGTGCACAAACCGGTCTTTTGAATGTACAAGTGCACATGGAACTACACAAGAGTGTGTGTCACAATTCCTGCACTGAGCAACTAATTAAAATGGTGTAAGTAAGTGTGAGAGAGCTGGTGATTTTGGCCAGCTGTTCTGTCTTCTTGGAGCTCTAATCCGCCGTAATGCCTCTCAGATCCTGCCTGTACTTTACAATAAAGACTATCAGATAGAAAGGGAGGAAGGACATGATGAAAATAAGGGGAGGATTTAAAGAACTAGTTCCTAACATCTGGGAATAAATGTCCCGTTTTTTTTGCTGAACCAGATTTGGAACAGTTGAACTATTCCCTGAATACAAACACTGACATTGTTTTAGCAACTATCTTTGGCGCAGCTTTAATAATTTGTGCTATTGTGTGATAAAAATGTTAAAGATTTATTTTTTATTAATAAAAATACCAGCAAATTTTTTTTTGCTGGTATTATTTGTAAAATGTCATCCATTCAGACATAATATTATGCCTAAATGCGCTCACAGATTTACATATACACACCACTTTGCTTCTAACTGTGGCAGGTCAACAAGAATGTAGTATGGAGGTATGTGCAGTGCAATATATAGATGGTACGTTAGAGAAGTTTAAAGACAAAAATCCTTAAAATAACAAGCAAAATAGAGCCTAAAGTAATTGTGTTACAGACATTAATGGCAATTTAGAGTCTTTACACACACTAATACACACAAAAACACACACTTACAGTTGTGTCCTCCAGCATTGCTGATTCTGAGATCTGTCAGGTTGTAAAGGAGATGTTGGAAATCAAAGGCAGACAGTGCAGGTTTATATCTCATCTCATTTTCATGAAGCCTGTGAAATAAGGAGATAGAAAACACATAATTTACAGTATGTTGATGCAGTGCATTCAAATGCCAACAAACAATGATTAAACACCAAAAAAAGTCACGTCTTGCAGGTACAAAGACATAAGTGGAGTGAATGTGTTTGTGTGGCTGATTTATGAACAACTCGAGTGTTTTTTTATAGCAATTTAATTACTTCCCACAACTAGGAACATAAGAAATGTCCTGTCACAGCTTGACTTTTTATGGCAGGCTATCTACAGCACACTACTAGCAGACACACACACACAGCGCAAAGAAAATGTAAATGTGCTGACTTCAACACATATTCAGGGTCTTGATCGTTGAGCTTTGCCATCTGCTGAAGGATGTTCTGCAAAGCCAGGCTGCACAGCTGACATCTGTCTGTTTTACTCCAGGTATCATGCACTCTTCCCATCTTGATGAGGGTTGCTGCGTCAGCTCCACACAGGCAATGTTGTGTTACGCAATTTACTTCCAGGATCATGTGAAGGTCCCAGAGGCGACAAACAGCAGCAAGAAGGTACAGGTACACAATTACAGGTAACACCTTATAATATGTGATAGCTAATAATTAATAACTACTCATAAGGAGTTCGGTCTAGACCT